GTTATGGAAGTGTCGTTCCATATACATCTAAACCACACAATATTTATAAAACTTTTCTCCAAACGCGGTGCACCGAATAATTTAATGCTTCAGCATGTGATTATGAAGGCCTTAAGGGGATGTGAAAGTGGCATCCGAAAGCTAAATCGTTCATAAAACTTTTCTACGAACTGGGTGTCTCAAATCCTTTCATACTTTAAAACGTGAATATGGAGACCCTAAGGTAGGTCCTGAAACTAGCAACATTTCGTTTCTCATAAACTATTTTTAAAATACCTGTAAACAAATTTTAGAAAAACTGAAATTTCATGAGTGCCAGGACCTTCCTTATAATCTGCATGTTCATATTGTACAGTTTAAAACGATTCGGTAAACCCAGTTCAGAGAAAAGTTTCATAAACAAAACCTCTTCGACGCCACTTTCACCCTACCTTAAGATGTTATGGAAGTGTGGTTCCATATACATCTAAACCTCACAATATTTATAAAACTTTTCTCCAAACGCGGTGCACCGAATCATTTGATGCTTCGGCATGTGATTATGAAGGCCTTAAGGGGATGTGAAAGTGGCATCCGAAAGCTCCATCGTTCATAAAACTTTTCTACGAACTGGATGTCTCAACTCGTTTCATACTTCAAAACGTGAATATGGAGACCCTAAGGTAGGTCCTGAAACTAGCAAAATTTCATTTCTTATAAACTATTTTTAAAATACCTATAAACAAATTTGAAAAGAATTGAAATTTCTTGAGTTTCAAGACCTTCCTTAGTGTCTTCCTATTCACGTTGTAAAGTTTCAAACTATTCGGTAAATCGAGTTGGGAGAAAACTTATATAAACAAAACCTCTTCGACGCCACTTTCACATCACTTTAATTTAAAATGATAAGTATTCTATGAACACTGATGATCGTATTAAACAGAAATGAGTATTATTAACTAAATATCTATCTACCCTGAGAAAAATGTACAACTGGAAACGAATACATTTTAATTGTATATTAACCTAGCAGACTTTTATTTATTTCTACATTTTTCGTTTAGTTGAAAGTATTTCACTTTTAATTCCCGTAAAGAAATAATTACTCCAACCATTGAAAATTTCACTTGAGTCGACTATTCGATTTTTAAATAGGCACATTTATTTAGTTTCAAGTATCTCATTTTTCTCAGGGTAGATCCAAATTTAAGAGATTTAATTCGATTTAATTAAACTTTTCTTTAAAACCGTTTACCAACAGAATTAAATGTACATACATATGTAAGTATGCGTGACGTAACTGAACAAAAGTATTCACTGTTAGAAAGATTGCTCTTTGGGAAAAAGTCAATTCATAGAAGTCAAAGAATCAGTTCATGAAATTCGTATACGAATAAATATTTAGTTGAACGAAATATAGTAACAATTTTTCTCCTCATCTACAAATCATTCGACGTAAATCGTTTGCATATCTGACAATTCTGACATCAACTGTATCAATTCAATTACGATTCCTAATGATTCCTCCTGATTTCGGCTAATCAGACCTACAACGTTTAACATGCTTATTACATTTCATTTCCTTCAAGTAAAATTTTATATAATGTCAATCATTCCAGTTTCACTGTAGAAGTACATTGTCACGTACTAAGAAACAACAGCAAAAATAAACATTATTTTAAAACATCGGGGTAACTTCGACCTCGACCATAGCACATAATCGACGTAACTATAATACTTTGACAAAAAGGTTTAACTCGATATACTCTAACTAAATAATAATAAAAATAATTTAACCTCGAGATCTGCAGTTTGATTTTTCAGTGCCATAGCGTACACTTTTATCTAGGGGATTTCTACGCGTAGACGTGAAGTTCGAGACACGTGACCTTAGTCAGACTGCTTCAAACATACCGTCCAAGCAGTAGAAGTAGTAGTAGTGTAGGGTGGATAAAACAGTTTCCATCGTGTCCGCCCGGGCTATTTACGCATCGGTACTGCGCAGACCAAAGTTAGTGCCTCGCGGACCGCCCATTAGAATGATAACCGCTGAGACTGGCTGGACTCTCGAATCTCGAGTTCTCGTTGGATAGGCCCGAAAGGAGGAGTAAACGAAAGCGATCGAGAGAGGGGAAGGAACGAGAGATGGGGGGAAATCGACGAAGAGGTAGGGGGCTCAGCCCTCGGAAATATTCGAGGGAATTTACGACCGTGGAGTGCGTACGGCGCGTATCCGAGCGTCGGTAGGGCAGCAAAACCCTCGGCCTGCCTCGACGAGTCGAGATCGATCGGCCGAGAGCCAGCGGAGACACGTCCCAATGAGAACGGGCTCGACTAGCGCACGATCCATTTTGGAAAGTCAGACAACAAAATGTCGTCCCGATGCGGGACCACCATAATTAGCCGAGTCAGCGGAGAGCAGGAGGCCGTAACGGAGGGTCGGGGCTCTGCACTTGCCGGTCGAGCGGGAAAGGGAAAGGGGGGAAGAGGGGGGGAGAGGGGAGAAGGGGAGCGCGGTCTAAAGGGAAAGGGGAAGGAGGGGGTATATAATAACAAGAGCTACGAGGGAAAGAGAGCGCATAAGGAGCAGCCAACGCGAACGAAGGAGCGGCGTAGAGGAGGACGGTGGCCCTCGCATGGGTCGCGCCATTACGGCAATGCGAGTAATAAGAATAATAATGATAACGTGGGGAGAGAGAAAGGTCAGTCGCGCCGCAGCCTACGTTAAATACAAGGGGGCAGACGCGCCTCCCCGACGGGCCGTTGGAAGCGTACAGCGAACAAGGCGCGGAATCCACGGGAACTTGGGGGATCGTCCCGGGCGCCATATTGGATTGGCATGTGGGCACGCGTGTGCGCGTGGACCATACTTTTGCGTCCACGATACGTGGAGGACTGAATGTACCTGGCAGGGTTGCCAAACGTGGTATTCTTCTAGTATTTCTCCTATTATTTGGCCGGTGTGCTATGCATTTTTATAACAATGGTACGCGAATTGTCCTACTATTTCGGAAGGAAATGGAATGGTTTGGACTTTGTTGTTATCGATGGACATTTTTGTTTATATTCTTCGGGTTTGTTTGTAAAGACCCTTATGCTTTGTTAAAATAGAGAACGGAATTAAGCCGTTCGGCTTTTAACACTTACATGTCCGGTGACACAAACAACACACACGGTTCTGTTTTAACGTCGAGGTCCCCACATGAAAGCATTAATATGCCAGTTTATTTTCGGTGTTAGAGTTTATTACGCGTTTAATTTCCAGTCGACTCGTGAAGTATTATAAACAAACGTTATATATAAATATACTCCTTATATGTTATCGGATGTCTTGAATTATATTTAATTTTGGTTTTAAATACAAAGAATATTTTTATTCAAATATTTGAACTTCTTAGTTTATATTATTTTCTTGATTATATCGGATTGTCTTATTTTAATCCAACTGTATTAGAATATACGGAACCGAAGTTGGCAACCCTGATATCTTAATATGGGATCGAAGGAAACCAACGTGTCCACTGAAAAATAGAATTAACGGGGTCCGAGCAATAGACTAAATACTATGCTTCGACATAAGACAAATTGTAAATACAAGTTGTACGCTATATTTCAGATAAATTGACAACATCCTTGTTAGCAAATAGAGCAAAGTCAAGAGTATTCATATTGAATTCTTGGTAAACATGGCAAATGTTAAGTCTTAAAAAGATTTTAAGTGAATTAAAGCATCGGAGGATGCTTTCATCGCGAATATTATGGATACGTTCTTGCTTCGTATTACATAGCTGAATTATGTATCAATCGATATACCCTGTCAGGTTTAACTTTATCTCAGATTTTATTAAAACACGTATTTAAGAAAAATATTCAATTAAATCGGTACTTTTGATATACAAATAATTAATTCCATTATCATTTTATCTTTGTCGTCGTTAACCGTGATAACTTTAAAATATAAATAGCAAGTGCAAACAGAAATATGTCAACTGGATCGTATAGCTTCCGAATTAAATTCCTACCCTTAACAAACGTTTATTTCAACTTCATTTCTTTATAGTTATAATAGAAATTGGAAAAAATAAATGGACAACGAACGTTCCAAGATTACTACTAGAAACATTAAAAATAGTTATCAGTTTACGTCACATCGTAACGATAAAACGTTCACTTTAAAATCATGGGTATTTTGGTCAAACAAATTTGTCCTAATTATACTGTAAATTTTGAGGTTGCTACGAAGTATAAATTTCATTCGTTATAGCTCAACTGACATTAGGTCATTCTGGGACAATAAAAGAAGCTACGAAACGACGTAGACGTATAAAAAGGACAATTTAACCTCTCGCCCAGTTAATGGCCATTGTAGCCGATGCTGCGATGCCGAAAAAAATCCCGCCGTTTCGGCGAAAACTCGTCAACTTGACCACATGAAACGTAGTCGACTCTCCCGCTACCTGCAGGAACTGCAAGCCAAACGGGTAGTAGTATAAGCTCGATGCTCTCCGAACGGCTAGTACGGACCGCTAGGAAGAATCCTCAGGCATAAAAAATGCATACAGAATCTTCTCCGGTCGGGATATTATCTCGCACGTTGCCGACAATAACTGCGTGTTCCCGGCTCGCCGCCATTTTACTCGGAATACTGTAAGCACGTACAGTACGATACTTTGCGTCACCATCCATATGCACTGCGCGTCCATAACCTACAAACTACCGCACATCTCGGAGCTACGACACCGACTCCCTCTGGGTGTTAAATCACCAATCGAGAGCATTTTACGATCGCAACGTCACATCTAGTCCGCACGCTGGAACGGTATCGGATCCGCTCTTATATAAAAATCCCAGAGACACGACTCGGTTAGCAACGGCCGTCGCGAGCGCCATTAGCGCCATAGACAGGTCTCGGGGCGGTAATGAACCAACGGCCGTGCACACCCAGAGGTGCTCGCGCTCCGTCTGCCGTTTCCTCCTCTCCCTCCTTCCCACGCGCCGACCCTCGCTCTCTCGGGGATACTCACATGGCGACTGCGCAGTCACACCTAGGTTCACGCTTCGGGCCACGCCGAGGTGAGTTACTTCGATAGGTGCACTACACCGAATTCGGCACAACTGCGCCAGGGCGATCCGATTTTCGAGAGAACGACCCGCTCGAAGACTCCGCGTTTTCCTCGAAATTACCGAATAGGCCCGACTCTCCCGTTAACGTCGTTACACTGCCAGCCAACGTCGCGACGCTCCTCGAGCATTGGTGGTCGTGCGCCTGTCTGCCTCCTCGCTCCCACTCGCGCCCCTCTCTCCCCGCACCGCCCGTCCCCGTTCGACCTGCGCAGGGCGAGCTGCGCAGCTCGCTCCTACTCCTCGCCGCCCGAGCGCGAGCCCTCATTGGTCCGCTGCGGACTAATCCCGAAGCAGTCGTTCGCGACGGTCGGGGCGGAGCTACCGTGCCGCCCGAGGGCGCATGACCGGTGATAACGGAACGCGCGTTCGGCCCGCCGCCCCGCCACGGCGCCGGGAATCTCAATCGTTACGGGAGAGCACTCGCGCGCACGGCCGATTCGACGAGCGCGCGCGCACGTCGTAGGAACGTAGCCATATCGGCTACAGTCGGGCGAGGGACGCGAGGGCGAGCGGTGGTTGGCAGAAATACAGGGCCGGCCGAGAAGGCCGGAATCCCTGGGTCCAAAGGGGTGTGAGGGTTAGGAGATTTCCTCGAGGCTGCAAAATTCCTCGTTGGGTCTTTCTAAATAATATTAGGCTGTTTCAGGTCTGTCACGTAAATGTATTATTTTTAAGGTAGAGATGATAATATCGCCGGAGGTAATTATATTTAGACGGTTGTATGGTGCAGTACCTTTGGAAATATTGTATCTGTTAATACTTCCAAATTCTGGAATCGATGCTTTTTTTTATTATAGATTGTACCTCTGGTTGCTGCGTAAAGGCGATCGAACGTTGTATTTACTAGTACCGGCAGTTTTAAAGTGGAGGTATCAGATTATTCTTTTATTCCGTATGTTGTAAGAATATCCGATGGCATGGATTTAAATTTACCCATTGTTGCTTTCAAGGTACATTAAGAACGAATGTGGAAAGGTTCAAGGGCCTGGAATCCTGCGGCTAGTACAGTCCTGCTGCGCCCTCTGCCCCAGTGCTGTATCCAGAAATTGCGCGTTAACGATCACGTTCCAATTGAATTAGTTGCGCACTAGTCGCTGAACCAAATGTACTTAAAATTTATCGCACTACGTGAAGAAGATTTCCCCAATGCGTTTTTACAATCATGAAACGTGATTTCGCCTTCTTTTCTTTGGAAACATACTCATCCAGAAAAATGACTATTTCCTAATCACCCACGATTCCCCCCTATCCGTTATTTAAATTTGATTAAACAATTCCGGTGCATGTAATTACAAAACATATTTCATAAGTCTCATTTCGACGTCCACTGGTCTCAATTCATCCAAGCAAAGGAACAAACTATACGTAGTCTTTGTTCCCGAAACATGTACAATCATTCATGATATTTGTTTCATGGAAATTTCATCAACGAACCATAAATCACGTTTACTCATGATTTCCCTATAAACGTAAATTTCGAATAATCGAGCCATTCAAATTCGAAAGTGTTTAGGAGTATTTTAGGAGAAAACGTAATGTTTCACAATGTCTTTTTAATTAACATCGGTCGAGCCGCGTAATTTATATTCCGTAACATATGTAATGTTACACTCCACCGTATAGACGTTCTATGTCCTAAATAATGTAAAATCACATTAACTTTACCCAACCCAATTGATAACCCCATCACCAATACCATTTAAAAGCGGTCATTTGACCAGCCAATGGTACGTTTACTATCCGGGGTATCAAAATGTTAACCCCGCGGAATTTAGCACCGCATTTCCCCCGGGGTATAATGGCTGATTAGATAATCATGATATTGGGATCGATGGAAAATAAAAAACACGTGAAAAAGTATTCATCTGAAATAATCCGCCACATTATGATCGGTTTAAGAAACGCTATTCCGTTGAATGGGGTCGATTGTAGATCGAGAAGTTACTTAACTCGGTGCATAAGAGGTCGTAAGGTTATCGAGGTCAGTGTTGTCCAGTGCGGCAGGGCCTCCAGTCCCCGAGGTACGGGCCTGGCACAGCTGTCTCTAAGCAGCATTTATGCTGGCTCCGCGCGCAGGCGGCGCGCGCACGCTGCGCGGACGACGGCGCGCGCACACAAGCAGCGGCGCGTTAACATAAGTATAGAACCGCGCGCGGACCCGTAGCCGCCAGACGGGGAGCATCGCACACGAGGCGCTGCGCGATCTTCGGCCAACCAGACGCGAGCTCGCCTCACCACCACACCTACGGATCTGCGTCCATCGTAAGCCGATATCGGATATGTCGCGGAGCTCCGGGCTAGGGATGTTCGATTCTCTTAGAAGAATCGATTCTTGAATCGATTCTGAATCGGATCATGAAGAATCGATTCTCTTAAAAATCGGAATCCAAAGAATCGATTCTGCAATAATCGATCCAAAAAATCGGAAATTTTTTATATATAATTAACACAAATTTAATTAATACATTTTTACGTGTCGAAAGACATCCATGAAAATGAAATGACTGTTGTATAAAAAAACTAAACAATTATTAGCAGTTTATATAGCAATTATATGTCTTCTCTAGCTTTCCCTTTGGCCGATATTTCCGGCCGAGATGGTCGACGGAATAAATGAGAGGTTCTGATTGGCTGTTGAAAGTCAGGTAGTGTTATGACAAAAGTGCGTTACGACGCTGAGTTTCAGTAGCCAATCTTGTCGTAGCGACCTACAGCAACCAATGAGCGAAGCGAATCTATCGTTTCAGTCAAAAAGAATCGGTTTCTCGATTCTGAGGGTAAAGAATCGATTCTCAAGAAAATCAAATAGTAAAGAATCGATTCTAAAAATCGATTCTTTCAGCAAAAAAATCGATTTTTTAAAGAATCGAATCGGAATCGAACATCCCTACTCCGGGCTGTCCGACGGCCCTCGCTATACACGGGGCGTTTACGCGTGCGATTCGTCGAACGGAATGCATGCCTACACGCGACACGCGCACGGGGCTGGCAAGTACCGATCGAATCGATCATGGAATCACGTGGAATATTTTTACGGTATCGAAGCTTTCTCGCCTGCCTGCGAATTATCGACGTAGGTATTTTTAGAAAAAAAAAACACATTTGGAAATATGTAATATTACTATTCGGTAAATACGAGCACAAATGTATTAAGAACTTTTACGATCCGAATACCTGGACCGCTCACTAACGGTGTGTAATATTTTGATGTATTGCATCATGTCATTAAATGAAGGTTTAAGATAATTTAGCGTAAGAAGGGTTTGGAATATTCACGTTGTTGCGTCAATCTTCTTTCTTCTGGTATATGCAAATCTTCAATTTAATGTTATATGAAGGAGTTTGGAAAAATAACGTACTAAGCAAGGCATGGAAATCATCAACTTTGATAATAAACATCGATTGATGCGTCATTTGATGATACTAGTTTCTTTTTGAGTGGTCAGTTTTTCGGAGAATTTCATGATTTTTAACTATAACAAGGAAAATTCAGATCGAACGATAAATAATTAACGATTCTCTAAGAGTACATTGTTTTTTATTCTTTTTTTTTTTTCTATTTTGAGAACCGTACTTGGAGGTGTTCTTGTAAAATGACCAGTTGTTTGTACATATATAATATAATTTCTTGTATTTAGGGCCGAGCACAAGAAAGAATGCCGAAAGTAACGATTCACCCCAGATTGTTTTTGTTTCGGCGTGCCCAGCGATCACCCAACGAGTCGCCGGAACGTCGAGACTCCGGTTTGGTCCCAAAAGAAACAAACCTTGCCGAGCCATCCCAAAGACAGAGAGAAAAAACAAGACACGAGGAGAGAGAAAAAAAGACGCGAACACGACTCGCCGTTTAAACCCACCCATGAGGCGCACACAAGCGTGAGGCCGATATTTGCCGCTACAACGACAGGCGCGACGGAGCGACGAAACGCGAATAAGAGATTTCCATTGGCCGCGGAGAACGTACAGCGGAAGTTCTCCGCAGCCAATGAACACCTCTTATTCGTGCTTCGTCGCTCGTCGCTGTAGCGCTAATGAAACATCGGCCTAAAGCCGATAGAGAGCGCGAATTGGGCGTGCGCGCCACCCTGTGCGCAGCCTAAGCAGGACGGGAGACATCCCACGGACGAAGGACGTGGCGTCTCCCAATCCATAGCTAACAGGCTCCGAAATAGCTGCTCCATTCGGTGTTGCACACCGACGACGCGCCACGCACACCATCGCGTGCCGTGTCGTACCATACCCAACGGCCTCTCACACGGTCTTGGGCGCGAGGCACACAGGCACGTTGCGCCACGTCTGTGAGTGGGTCGGTGGTGGGGGTAGAGACTAGCCAATGGCACGCGCCGGCTGGGGTTGCCAAGGGAACCGGTTAATGATTCCAACCACCACCGAGGATCTGGCGAGGCGAGCGCATGCGTATTGACGATTTCTATTAACAACGTTCTGTATACATCCCGCGAGGGGCGTTGTAGGTTTTTTTTTTACTCGTGCACGACTGACCCTCCTGCGTTGCTTGGGTGTGCGTCGAGTTTCTTAATGTTTCAATGTACGTGCATTGGACGCCTCGCATGGATATCCCGTGAACACGAGTACGGTATTTGGATGTGTGAGCGAAAGGCGAACGAGCGACCGTCGCGATGATTGGTGTCTTCCCCCTCCTCTCTCCCATTTCCTTCCCTAACTTGTCATCCCTTCTCGGGCGGTCCCCTCCATCCTCGGATAAACGCGCCGTTCCGTAAAGTCTCACCGATTCGATGATTGGCCCTCTGTTGAGCCGAAACCTCTCGTGTGCCTGCGAATCATTCCGATCGCAGCCGATCGTGACCGACGACAGCCGATCGCACCCTGAAGGTGTGTCCGCCTGTTCTGGGAGTGCTCTCTTTAGCCGACTCCCATTCGTGGTCGCACCTCGACACGCTTTCGACACATGTTCATACACATTTGGATCATATTTTCCCTACATCGGTGAGAAAGATAGCTATGCGAGTGGGTCGATGGTTCGAAAGCACGAAGCTCCCGTCTGTACGATGAAAATGCTCAATGATAGCTTCAGAGGCGTACTACACCGATCTTGTTCACTTTGAAATAGGTGCTCTTGTAGTTCATCTAGAAAAAAAGCGCGAAGCTCTCGTTTATACGATGGAAATGCTCAATGATAGATTCAGAGGCGTACTACACCGATCTTGTCCACTTTGAAATAGGTGTTCTTGTAGTTCATCAGAAAAAAAGCGGGGATTTTTTAACGTGTTCATTTATAGGTTTAAGTCGAAGCGAAACCCCCTTCAAGTCAGTCGATTCGAATACAACACTTTTTTTAAGGGTATTAGACCAAACTGTCCGAAACTTTGACGCATCACTCTTGATCATTTAAGAATTGTCCTGACACATTCGAAATTTGGGTTTTTGGAACACATTTTTTAACTTAGTCCAGACCAGAACCAAAATGGCGTCGAGCTCTCGTATTTCGATCGATATACAATTATCGAAGGCTGATATGAGAATCGAAAGGGTCAGGACAATTTTACGACAATATAGAACACTCTGGTAGTTCATAAACTCGCATTTGAACGGGATAAGAGCAAAAGAAGTGTTGTATGCGCTTCTATGCTAAAACGATGGTAATACGAGGTCTCGGAGTGAAAATTTAATTGAACTGGAAATCACAGATGGCGCAGGGGGTCCCTCTGCAGTCAATTAGAGCATCGAAAACCACGAATCTGGGGGACCTTTGATGATTTACTTCGATTTCTTTACAATTATTGTACAGAAACGATATATGGAGTATGCCATTACCCAATATAATTCGACATAACTGTCAATATAAAAACGAACGTCGGCAACGTAGGCATTTAGAAAAATCTTCTTTATCGACGTCGATCAAGTTCCTCGACGTGTTTCACTTTATCTTAAGGTGAAGAGAAACACGTCGAAAAATTTGATCGACGTCGGTAAAAATGATTCTTCTACATACCTACGCTACCGATGTTCGTATTTGTTCTGACAACTTTTTCGAATTATATTGGGTATTGTACTAAATGGCATACTCCATATATCGTTTCTGTACAATAATTGTAAAGAAATCGAAGTAAATCACCAGAAATACCCCGGATTCATGATTTTCGGTGCCTTAATTGACTGCAAAGCGCCATCTACGATTTCAGTGGCAACTAAATTCCCCCTGCAAGACCTCGTGTTAACATCGTTTTAGCATAGAAGCGCATAAAACACTCTTTTTGCCTTTATCCCGTTCGAATGAAAGTTTCTCGATTACTAGAATGTTTTAAATTGTTGTACTATTGTCCTGATACTTTCGTTTCATATCAGAGCCTTCAATAATTGAATATCAATCGAAATATGAGAGCTCGACGCCATTTTGGTTCTGGTTTAGACTGAGTCAACAATTTGTTTTCGAAAATCTAAATATTGAAAGTGCCCGGATAGTTCTTAAGTACTCCCAAGTCATGTGTCGAAGTTTCGAACAGTTCGGGGCAATACTCTTAAAAAAAGTGTCTTATTCGAATCGACTGATTTAAAAGGGGGGTTTCATTTTACCTTAAGGAATAAAAACTACTTCTGGAACCGGCATCCATAAACGATTTTTTTCATATTTTGACGTGTAAGAAAATGTATCCAAACTAATGGTAATGAATTAAACGTCTAAACGCGATAAATTTACATTTTTTTGTTCAACCTTATGTATGTAATACGTACGGATGTATTACAAATTTTTCACGAAACTCTAACAAGTTTCCTAATGGACAGATTCTGTTGAAAGCCATAAAAATATCATAATGCGAAAATGTAAAACAATTAAATTTATGCGTTATAAGTTTATAGAGAAAATACCCTGCAAAGGTGTT